AATCTTGTTTCTCACTAAATCATAGCTCTCTGTAAAAATAAATGCCAAATTAGCATAGAAATTTTAGGTTATACCAATTTAGGTAAAATATTCTACTCCTGCGCAAAACTGGCCATAATACCTTCAGCAATTCAGCAGCTATGATGACCACAAATGTCGTGCCATCTCCCACTTCTCGGTCTTGTAATTCTGCCAGCTCAATAAGAACCTGTAATCATTTAAGAACTACACATAAATTTCTTGCAATGCTAAATTGTAAAAGCACAAAAACACAAAGTTTACCTTGGCAGCAGGATGTTCAACCTCCAGAATTTTCAATATCGTCGCACCATCATTAGTAATTGTCACGTCACCAATATCATCGACAAGCATCTAGCAAGTACCGACCAGGAATGAAAAAGAGCATCAGATTTTAAGTCTAAACTGAGATATTAACATACCAGGCACTTAAAGATACTCACAGCACTCGAGTTATTGGAGTACATGCTATAATTAAAAGTAAAACCTACCAATCACTACTTTCATCTTTAACATAAGTGCAAAATGAATAAGAAAATGTCTTGCTGACGGATTGCGAGCAACGCGCACATACCAAACAAGAGAAAATGAAAACACCGCTAAGTTAGACACTACTTAATTTGTTTTCAGTATTACTATCAAGCAACCGTCTCCATCTCCATGGCAATATATGGAGATAAATTAAAGCAAAAATAACTTGTCGAGGCCAACAAGCCAAGCGAAGACTTCACAATGTTCGCAATAGCTAGACAAGCTACAACTGCATATTCCAAGGCCAAAACATTCGAATAACATCAACAGCTCACGACATAAGTATTAAAATAAGTAGACAAATATGACGACGACAAACGGTACCATTTTGAGTTCGAACATCTTGGCCGGATTGACGTTCAACGGAGATATCAGGCTGCGACAAAATTGCCATAATCGATAATACAATCTAATAGTCGAAAGGAAAAGCTAGGACAAAACCCTAGATCTGATCGGCTTCGCGCGGTGATTGTCGTACTTTATCTCTATAGCTCAGTTGTAGTCACTCAAGTGAAGAACATTTCATAGGGTTTGAGCAAAAGTTTTTGAAACCATCGTTTTTCATCCTTTATTTATAGGTACCCCTTGTTGGCATCCATGTCTCTTTCTCCTCACTCCCTTCTTTTATTTATTTATTTTTTTTTTCCTTTATCACATACCATTGTGCGTTTTTGTTTTTCAATTCTCTTTTATTTCTCAATGAGGTAACTGATGTTTTGGTGTCTACTGGAAGCTATGTTGAACCTAGTATTCGACCTGATGATAGTCGTTATGGGGAAAATCCGAACAGACTTCAAAGGCACACACAATTTCAGGTGCATTTTGGAGAGCTTTAAGTCTAGAACTATGGTTATCATATGAAAGCCTCCGAAAGCTTTTCTGGTTTATATTAGTTTTTGATATTCTACCTCTCAAATTTATCTCAGGTGATATTGAAGCCTGACCCTCAAAATTCACAGGACATGTTCATTCGGAGTTTATCAGCCTTAGGTTCTATATCATACCATTTTCTTCTTATGGCTCTTAGATACAATGATATATCTGTCATGACCAGATTGAAACTATTTCACGTATGTGTTTGCTCCTAACCAAATTTTTCTATTTAATGGTTCACAGGGATTAATGTAAATGAGCACGATATTCGTTTTGTCGAGGACAATTGGGAAAGCTCGGTAAGGCTTTGTATTTTATGATTTACATAATATAGAGACACATATCTGGTACATAACATATTTTTCAGGTTGAATTTGGGGAATACTTAGATATCCCCTGGTGCTACAATGCTATTGCTATTTATTTAATTGGTTAGGCTTCTGCTACTTTTGCTCGCTGGTCCAATTTTCATTGAATGCTTATGTTTTGTTTATGTTGTGTTTTAATAATGGATATCTATGTTTACTTCCAAAGGGAAACATAGATATATATTCTTGTTAGGAATAATCAAGAAACTTTGGAAGTAAACATATGGAGAACTCTTTCTGGAAAACAAGTTAATAAATGATTATAGTGACTTTTGTGGATAACTGCGGGTTACTTAGTCCAACGTACATGGGATTTATCATACTCTATATACCTACACATATATATTTTTAAAATTAATTGTTTTGTACTGGTTATAAAAACCTGAAATCTATGAAACACACGTTATATCTCAGAATAATAAAAAGATTTTAATTCCAAACCTGTACACATATTAATATCAATTTTTTCTTCATAAGTTTAATTTGATCATATATATTAGACTTACTATTGCATTAACAATAAAATTTATTTGCATGTTTAGATTTAATTTTTATGTTCAATTACATATGGAAGTTATCAATTAAACTATATTTAATTTGTATTTTCTATTATTTAATTTTGTATCATTTTAAATTCTAAAAATAAATTTTAATAAACTTTCCCAGTATGCATCTTATATAGATTAAGTTTCTACAATAAGGTAGTATTAATTAAAATAATTAACATCATATTCATAATAAGTATGCGAATTAAGAATATATTACAAGAACGTTACTTTGTGTTAGCAATTGATTTTATTTATTTCTGATGTCGCTCCACTATTTCTTCAGTCCTGGATGTGAATAGAATACTGCCAGACTGTAGTTTGATGTTACGACCAAAGTAAATATAATATAGTAACATGTTTGTTTTTTGTTAAGGTTCATGCTTATTTTTTCTAGAGAAGAACCATAATGTGCATAATCTGTTTCAGGAAGGAAATGAGTGCATATTATTTGGAGCATTCCAACGTTGATCACATTCATAATCATTTTGATCTGTTTGAGACTGAAGCTCGTCGTCTGCTTGACTCGGGCCTTGCAATTCCTGCGTATGTCCTTTACATCAGTTTACCTCTTTGACATAATAAATATGGAAATCTCTGTTTTGTTTTCACCTTGTAGTGGCATCCACCTCTCTGTTTCCTTTCATGTTAGGTATGATCAGCTTTTGAAGACATCTCATGCCTTCAACGTCTTGGACTCCAGAGGATTTATAGGGGTAGCTGAACGTGCCCGCTATTTCGGCCGTATGCGTAGGTTTGTCATCCTGTTTGATATTGTTTTACGTGATACAATCTCATCCGAGACAGTAAACAATAGTAATGGTTTATGTATTTTGAGTTTAAGAGTAAGTCACTTTGTTCTTAGTCATTAAGTTGTGAAGATCTACTCATTGCTTTGTTCTCTGATTTAGTTACTGCCACTCCTCCTATTATTTCGGTCGTATGCGTAGGTTTGTCATCCTGTCTGAATTGTATTATGGATAGCTGTCTTCATAATGACAGTTAACAAATTGAAATCATCTAAGATTATTGTTCTCCTCCATCCAGTTTAGCCCGTCAATGTGCGCAGCTGTGGTTGAAGACAAGAGAATCTCTTGGGCACCCCTTGGGCGTTGCTTCTCATTCCAATCACCTTAGCTTTCAGAAAGAAGACATGGAAGAACTGAAGAAAAAGGTGTTGTAGAAATCTCTTGTCTGTATCATTTATAAATACTTATACCATGTCAATTGTCTATGGCAATCTGGATCTCATTTGTGTATTCGCATTTCGTTCTTAAATGTCAGTATATCTGAAATTCATAAAATGCAAATAT